AATAAACCAAGTAGGCATAGACAAGGATGTTGGACACGCCCCCTTGTGAGGTTGTGCAGAGGAAGTTTTATTACACCGTGCCTATTCCTACCTTGTTTCCTAACTTTTTGGTGAAATCATTCCTACACTTTCAATTTTTGTTAACTTTTTTTTTTTTTCAGATAGTGATAAATTGCATTCCTTATGAAATTTCTCATCTTCAAATTTATGCTATACATATGGTCTAGACGGCCAGGTCACAGACCCCCAAAGGCAAGCATGGCTGGCCCTAACTTAAAACTGCTTATGTGGCTGTTCTTAACATAAAAGCGGGTCGGTTTATCGCTTTTATAAAATGACCATGACTTAAAGTACAGAACGTGTTCAGCAGCATAGAGTGTACTCAAACTTTGAGCATTCCGACACGCAGACTGGCACACAAGCCATTATTTCATGTCCTTTCCAGTAAAGTTTGTTTAGTGCAAAGCTGCGCAACGAGCTATCATCTGGCTCGGACATCGAACCCCGAATTTTAACGTTATATATACCTTCGTGATTACAGCTGAGACATCGGTGAACTGGCCCAATAACTTTAGTTAATTTGTTTTATGTTCTTGTTAAAGTTTTGGATGAAATTGACAGTAGAAATAACAAATGTTTTCCATCTTTCATCTTTTTTTTTTTTGCTGCTGAATTGTTTTAACAAAGAATGTTTTCTGCTTATTCGACTTTCGTAAGTAAGATCACAATAATCTGAAATAAAACCTTTTTCAGGAGCCTGGAGTTTCTGAACAACGACTGTTGTATCGAAATAGAACCTTATAGCGTGTTGTATGCAACTTGTCTAGTTGCCAAACGCTTCTTAGCAACATTAACTATAAAATTTATGTCGTTAGCTGAACTATCTTTCTCTCTGTATACGCACACACACACACACACACACACACATACATATAAACTTAAGAGAAAGTAATATACATCCAACTTGTATTGTTGTACGGCTTTTCGTTTTGTGTTTTGCTAACCAGTGTTTTACCATCCTATTGTTAGCTTACATTGTTCAGTAATGACGTCACGCACTGGTTGATTTGCTGATACAGACAGTAAGTGGTGTGACAGAATAATAATAAAAAAAGTTCCTCGGATGACTACATGTCTGTTTTCCCCTCCTCTTTGTGCATTCAGAAGCATTTTGCTGAGACTTGCTGGTTTTCTAGCTGATAGATACTCACCTAATCTTAGCTGACTGTTGACAACCGTCAGGATCTTGTCACTCATCCCTTGAAGGTCTTTTGATTTCAGTGTAAGTTTCATAAGAAATACATGAATGCTCGAGTGCGTGGCTTCTATGTAATGTAAAAATTTTGTTCTTAACGTGTAAGTTGTGTTCGTTTGGCATGTACTATTAGTGTTCGTACTCGTGTCCAATAAACGGCTCGACGTTTTGATTTGAATTAAACTCTTTACACAGAGACAAATTTTTCTTGACCACGCGCATTTCAATCGGTTTTATTAATTAATTACAGATTTCACTGCTGGTACTCTACATTCTGTCCGGCCTTTTTTTAACGCCTCCTTTCGATTTTGTGTCCCACATTACTGCCGAAAAACTAGATTCTATCGTGCCTTTTTTTTTAATGCCTTCCTTCGAGTTTCTGTACAACATTATTATTACTGCCAGTACACTGAATTCTGTCGTGCTTTTTTTAACGCCTTCTTTCGAATTTGTGTATAGCCTTGGCCAAAATGTTTGCATACTGTTGTATATTGATGTTATTGTCTACATGCATGAAGTAGTTATTGGGTAAATGCCCGAGTAGTAACAGAGAAAGTAGCGTAAGGTGTTCATCAAAACACACATACGCGTCTGTTTTGTATAAAAGTGTGCTTTTGGTGTAATCTTTTACGAAACAGATCAACGCTTTGTTCATACAATTTCTCTGTATTTGGTGTAGAGTCATGTCTTGTCACGTGCCAGAAGTTATAGGGTGTCAAATTTTTCGACTGTCCAGAAATGATATGAAACAAACGGACATTGCCAGAACAGTCTACTGATAGACGCCGAAAAACTACTGCCCTAGATGAACGTGTTTTTGTCAGGTTAACGCATCAAGGTCGAAAGATGCCTTACGAATGACATGAACACATTCATTCCAGGATATCCAGAAGAACAGTGAACAGGAGACTGGTAAAAAAAAAAAAAACGTTATTTTGCAAAAAGGCTGTCACCACTGTCACCGTGTTACTTGGGCAAGACAGCATGCCAACTTACAGTTAGGACACTGGCGACATGTCACCTTTTCAGGTATGCCCTGTTTCCAGCTTGTTAAAGCTGATGGGTGGATTCGTTTTCGTCGTTTTCCTGAAGGGAAGGCTGTCTTTCCCACAGGGAACTCACAGGAGGTGATGCAGTACATGTTTGGGCAGCTACTCATCATGATGGAAAAACTGCTCTTCGTATCCTACAGGGAAACTTCAATGGCGCCTCCTACAGGCATCACATGGAAACAATATTTCTACCACATGCTAGGGCGAAGTTTGGCAATAACTTTGTGTTTCAGGATGACAATGCCACTGCCCACAGGGCACGTATTATACAGAATTATCTCAACCAAGATTGTCATGGCCATTAAAGTCTTCAGATTGTAATCCCATTGAGAAATGTTGAGCAGAAATGAGCTGGAAAATTACTAACCACCACCATAAACCAGCTACTGTAGCTGAGTTACAGCGCCTTTTAGTGACTAGTTGGGATGAAATCGCGATGTATTACATCAATAACTTCATCAACAGCATGCCACGTCGCCTTGCGGAGGTTATTGGAGTAGGAGGAGAACCAACTAAGTACTGAATGTTTAATATGAACTGATATATAAGGTTACAGACGCTATTTATAGTAATTTGATGTTATATTTTGTCATCATATGTGTTTTGATAAGGTTTTGTTTTGATAGGGGAAAATGCTGGATTATACACATTTCTACAGGTGTCTGATAAAGTTGTTTGCTGTTCTAATAAATCGTCCCTGGTGTCCATAGAACCTGTCTCATTATACAAATTACATATGTAGATGTTTAATATAACATACATTTCTCAGTTTGATAGCGCTAAGTGTTTTTCTGTTCCATCTTAATAATAATGATCTTATTTTTTACAAAATAGGCAAACATTTTGGCCAAGACTGTATTACATTTCAAATGATATATTGTCAGGCGATTTCTGATCTAGTTAGAAGAAATTCGTCGAATGCTAAAATGCTTTCTTTTTGTATTTGTTTATAAGTACTAATTAGTATAAGATTATTTTTTTTCAAAAAGTGATATTTTAGAACGTGCTAGTCTTGTTACCAGCTGTGCAAATTATCAAGGAGAGATGATTGTGACTTTTCGAGACCAGCGTTGTGTTGTCATGTGCAGTTTATCACGTGCGGTTATCAATTTTGTCCTTATTTCTTATACTGTCATTCCTCTGCTGACGATTCTGCTGGAAGTGTATGAGTTTGAACATATTGTTTTAGGAAGCAACTAAATATTAATAGGGCTATAATAACTAAATGTACTTCCGCAGGTTCCCCGAAAATGTTTTTGTTTCAAGAGTAAATAAAATTAAAAATTAAGAGTAACAAATATTCTTATTTATTTATTGGTTTTGAAGTTCATATGTCATTCTGTGTTGTAGCCTACAGAGTGCATAATTCTTCTCCTGATTCATGGCATACGCACATTTACGACAGTACAAATTGCAACGTTAAGCGTCCCTTATGTGACGTCATTTTAGTGTCTACTGACTGACTGACAGACAACACAACTATAAAGTGGCGCGAGTGGTTGAAACCGATGAGTCCTCCACGCGGTCTTTGGCCCCCTTTCGGGGAAACAAGTTTGTTCGCTGGTGTGTCGGTGAGTTGTTTGATGATAGTATTAATGAAAACCAAAAAGTTCATATTTTATTCTGGCTACAGCCAGACTAAGCCAGTAGGTTCCTAGCCTCAGAGTTGGAACGTATAGTCATAGGCAAGTAAGAAGACACAGTTTCAAAGATTACCTGTTTATCTATACAGAAGTAGAAGGGTCAGCTTGAGTTAGATCTGTTAGTGTTAGATCTAATATCTGAAATTATGTGGCAACATTTTTTGTATTCAGTTCAGAATTACGTGGTAAACTATCAAAACAGTATATATATATATATATATATGTTAGTGGGCGGAGAAATATCCATGCCCACTGAAATTAATACACGTAAAACTTGAAGATTTGTTTTACGAAATAAAAGCTTACCAAATTTATACCTGAAATAATTGCAGCCAAACAAAAATAAATTCGGTAGGGCTGTTACACAGGAAATAACACTTGATACAGGAAAGTCTTTGTTACCATATTAGAGTAACATCTGAGAAACAAGCAGTAAATTTAAGTCGTTGGAAACTCGAGAAAGTCTTGGTTAAATACTCCAGCGCAGAATGTTAAATGTTTAATGGAACTTTCACGTAGCAGGAATTGAGTTTACTAAGCTGAAAAAAAAACAACTAAAATTTTGTTTCTTTCTCAATTTGGAAACCTACGTTTTCAAAGTTTTTCAATATGTACTACCTTGTTTTAGAATGTTTAACTTTCACCAGTCAACATTTAGAATGTTTTACGTTCACCAATCAGTATCTTAAAAAATTATCAACTTTATACGTTGTATAATTCCTCTGACTCATCCCAAGATTCGTTCTGATACGCATCAACGGTCGTTTCATAAGTAAGGACCGCCTTTGTGCACCTGTTATCCCAGCTGTAATAGTTTTTATAGTTTCTTGCTTGGCTTGTGGGTAATGCGTCCTCATTACAGTGTAGTATTGTACGACATGGGCTGGCAACACGCCTTGAAAGTGGACGTAGTCACTCCAATCCTGGCAACTGTGCCAGTCCCTGGTGTGATTTATAAAGCTGTGCTCTGAACCCAGAACATTAATTTCTCTGCTGTTTGACCTGTTCGCTTACTTCTGCTGACACGTGATTTATTTCTGTTCTGTTTAGCACGTGACCTGTGTCCTGCCTGCCTTACACCCCTCTCCATACCGCCAGCTATGGCCACCGTAGACTCTGAACCGTTGTCCGGCGATGGCTCCTCCGTTACTCTTACTATTCGGTTGATCATGCAAGGCAAGGTGAGTAATCTTTTTTGACTAACTCGTTCAACGCAGGGTAACGTTGAGTTTTAAATCGCAGATCGATTTTCACTGTAATAATCAGCAACTATTTTATATAGCTTTGATGTATTAAGGTGCATTTAAAAACAACAGCAAGGACCTTAACCACGTGTAACCGTCCAGGGTAGAGGGCCTTGAGGGTCTTTTGTTGAACGTCAAAAATCTGCTTTCAAAATTATATTCTCACAAGAGAAAAAAACAACAACAACAAAACAAAGTTTAACACCTATTCCTAGTTGATGTTTTTTTTTTCTCTCTGGAATAGATAAATACCCCTGTGATAAAATTAGATAGTGAACTTCAACACCTCTTAAACAAATTAATAAAAAAGAAAGAAGGAAAAGGATATGTAACCGTTTGCGTTTTTTTTTATATAATAAGGAGCTAAGCCCTTGAAAAGGCAAGTCACGAGACCACAATCAGAGGAAGTTTGAAAGTAAATCTCTGAATAAATTGGCCTCGAAGAGAAAAAAAAATAAGGATACTGATATTAGTGTTTCACAAAAAAAATTTATGAAACAAATTTGTAACAATAGTGAACTGTGGAATATGGCTTGTGAATTTTAAATTTAGACACAGACGTTAAATGTCCACAAATCTTACGACATAGGTTAGAAACTAGGAATCTCAGTGACAGAAACAAATACATTTGTCATGAAACTTGGAATATCTGAAACGTGTGCAATACGTAATTTTTGTTACAGCAGTAGCTTTTAAGCTCATAATTCATAAATGTATATTTTTAACAAACAAAGGAAAACATATTGTTAGAATGCGAACGCCTTTTCTAAGATGGCGAAGCATAGTTATAATTAGTTACACTAGTCATAAAACAAACAAAAAAAAAAGCATTTGTACTAAGCCTATTATATTTATAATACTACATTATTTATTCAGTACCATAGGGTTTTTTGAGAAGAAGAAGAGTTCGTAATATTTCAAACACACTATGTCCAGCATATACATTGGCAACTATACTGATGAGCTCTGTATTAAGAGAAACGCGTCATCGGTAATGGATATGGCGGACATAGTGTGGTTGAAATACCATTACACAGCCTCCTTCTTCTTCTTGTAAACCCTAAGGGGCTGAATAAAATATGTAGTGGTAGAAGATATAATAGATATTCATCAGAGAAACAAATATATTATTAAACACTTACACGTAGATATTCATCACAGAAATAATTATATTATTAAACACTTACACGTAGATATTCATCACAGAAATAATTATATTATGAAAACACTTACACGTAGATATTCATCAGAGAAGCAAATATGTTATGAAAACACTTACACGTAGATATTCATCACAGAAAGAAATATATTATGAAAACACACGTAGATATTCATCAGAGAAGCAAATATGTTATGAAAACACTTACACGTAGATATTCATCACAGAAAGAAATATATTATGAAAACACTTACACGTAGATATTCATCACAGAAACAAATATATTATGAAAACACACGTAGATATTCATCAGAGAAGCAAATATATTATGAAACACTTACACGTACACATTCATCACAGAAACAAATATAATATGAAAACAACAAAACTACACAGGTAATTTTTGTCAACATTTTCTCTGTGAAATTCGAAGAGTGATTTTTTTTTCAGTGCCTACAGTTCTTAGTTAAAAAGACAGAATTTAGACTGTTTTAACCCTTTGCTCTTGAAATTTCGTTTTAATGTGTTACAACTGTTCTGTAGGTTTAAGGCCGTTAAGTGGAAATTTTAGTTCTGTGTTTTGCAATGCTTCCTATACATCGCGCGTGCGCCTATACTTAAAGCTACTGCAATACATAATTTAAAAGACACGTACAACTTATGAAATGTTTATTACTGTTGGGGAGAATACTATCCTGATATTTCGAAATATTTACATTAATCTGGTTAATTATCACTGAATTATAGATGGCCTTGTCAACTTTTTTTGTACAGACCTGTACCCAGAGGATATAGCGATTAGGTTATTTGGTCAAATGAAAGCATAAAACTTCTCATAGCGCCGCTTCGTATGGTACCGAAAACTTAACAGTGTTAACTTTGTGCGTATTTAATTATTCTCTTTACGAATTGCATATTGAGCTTCATAATTTAATTTATTAAGTTTTTGCTGTTGTGTAGGTATGCAAAATGTAAGGCTGGAGTTAAATTTACTCCCAAGGACTCAGCCAGGATGAACATTTTACATACTAAGTATAAACTGTTTCTTGATCAGCAGACAGGATAAAGTGGAAAGATAGTAACTAAATGAGAACAGAGCTCTTTGCTGCACGATAAATGGAGCTTGATGATGTTGTTTCATAAAAATGTCACGTGGGGGAAAGAACTGAATTAATTCGAGTAAATAGTGTGTCTTACGTGTTTAGGAATTTTTTAAAAGGAACAATGTTGTCGAACAGATTTTGGGTGTTGAGTTAAGCCGAAAAATCTGTTGCTTTTTCTTTTGTTTGTTTGTAATTAAACACAAAGCGACGCAATGGGCTATCTGTGCTCTGCCCACCACGGGTATCGAAACACGGTTTCTAGCGTTATAAGTCCGCAGACATGCCGCTGTGCCACTGGGAGGCGTTGCTTTTGGTAGAGGTGGAAGAGGCAAGTTAAATGTGCGTGGGAGGCCAAGGTTTATTTGACGGAGGGAAGCGAGGGAATGTGCACCCCAAGTGCGTCCAATACGGCTGGGGTCCAAGGCTCGCTTTAGGGTTCTGGAAGCTCTTGGGCTCTAGATTCAATTTTATGCATTATCCTGCTTTTCCTGGGAGTATTTTTCGTAATTTGACGCATTTTTACTGGGACAGAACGAAAAGTGTGGGGGGGGGGCGCTTCCTTCGCTACTGTTTTGTCTACTTAATATTGAATACACTGAAAAACGTCTCTAGACTTTAATAAGTTTGGTATTTGGGTTTACACGGTCTCCTTACAAACTGGTATGGTTACTAAATTATATCCTATTATCTCATTTATCCAATGTAGACACCACATTTTAAATTTATCGGGCGCCAGACTTAACCTGAGCAACAGAAATAACACTATAAAATAATCCAACCTTTTTATAAATTTAAAATATAGACAACACTTAACCTGATCGTGAGGCGTAACAAACTCAATAGATATTACAAAACGCTAACTTTTGTACTTGTAACATGTTCCCACTAAACTTTTGAAACTAACTTGGAGGAAAGCCCACGTTTATCTTGTCAAGTTCTCATTTAAGTGTTGCGGAGAATTTAAGTTTTTACGAGTCTACATGGCACAAGTTCTGGTACTATACCATGCTATGAAACTAGGCATAAAATGGACAAACCATATAGCTGTGCCCCCCCCCCCCCCC